AGAGAGAGAGAGAGAAAAAAAATGTTATAGGAAAATAGAATTTTTAAGTAATAATCTCTCCTTCCCCACTGATTGTTCTTGGTGAACTTTTTAGAGAGAGAGAGGGAAAGAAAATGTTATTATTGAATAACTCTGAAGGTGGAGGGGTGTTTTTCACCTGGGTATTAATGCTTGTTATTAGAATGCTTCTAAATTCACAGGCTTCACCTTCTGTTTAACTATGATATATAAATTACATTAATTGTGGCAATTCTTGTAGAATATCTTGTTATGTGCTGTCGAGTCACTTGCGACTCATAGCAACCCTATGTACAAGAGCCCTAAGTCCTGCTCTATCCTGTGCCAACCTGTCTCTGACACATCCACTCCCATTGCCCCAATCACCCAATTGATCCATCTCATTGAGGGTCTTCCTCTCCTGTCCTGTCCCTCCAACTCTCCCCAAAATGGTGTCCCTCTCCAAGGACTGGTCTCTCCCTGCAACGTGCCCAAAGTATGTCAGACGAAGCTTCAGAATCCTTGCCTCCAATGAGAAGCCTGGTTTCACCCTCTCCAGGACAAACCTGTTTGTTCTCCTAGCAGTCCATGGTATACGCAACACTCTTCTCCAGCGCCACAGCTCAAAGGCATCAATTCTCTTTCTATTATCTCTAGTCATTGTCTAGCTCTCTGATGCATAGCATGCAACTCCGAAGACTATGGCCCAGATCAGGCTATAGTCTCCCAGCCTGATATCGTTGCTCTTCAAGAGTGCTGAGTACTCTGGAGACGTCTCTGACAGCTGACTTTCCCAATGCAATTCACATCTTGATTTCCTGGCTGCTGGTACCAAGAGTGTTGACTGTGGAGCCAAACAAACTAAAACTGTTAATATCTTAGACATGACTATTTATGATCTCATTTTTTGGGGCCAAATATTGAGATTTTTCCATGAGTCCTCTACAGTGATTAAGTGCTTGGCTGTTAATAAAAAGGTCAGAGGTTGGGATGTACAGCTACTCTGTGGGAGAAAAATGAGGCAGTCTGTTTCCCGAAAGATCATTCTGTTATGTGCTGTTTGAGTCGACTATGACTTCTACTCACCAAATAACAGATCTGAACATGGCCTGTGCCATCCTGATCATCTCTGTTTTACTTGAGCCCACTGTTACTGTCACAGTGTCAACCCATCTGGATGAGAATCTTCCTCTCTTATACTGACCCTGCACCTTTCCAAGCATGATGTTCTTCTCTAAGCATGTCTGGCCCCTCCTAACAACATGTCTGACAGCACCCGGTATTCCCAGGTGGTCTTTCATCCAAGTGCTAACCAGGCCCGACCTTACTTAGCTTCTGAGATCAGATGAGATCGGGTGCTTTCAGGGTGTTATGCAGATGACACAACCTTGCTTGCTGAGGAGGATATGAGGCATTTTCTGCAAGGATCAAGGACTGTAGTCTTCAATGTGGACTGAAGCTTAACATCAATAAGTCAAAGACTTCCACCACTAGGCAAATTGGCAACTTCATGGTAGATGGAAAAGATTCAGATTGTTAAGAATTTCAGCTTACTTGGTTCCACAATCAACACTCCTGGCACCAGCAGCCAGGAAATCAAAAGATGAATTGCATTGGGAAAATTTGTTATCAGGGGCCTCTATAGAGTACTGAAGAGCAACAATGCCAGTCTAGAGACTAAGGTGTGCCTGATCCAGGCCATGATCTTTGCAATTACTTGCTTGTATCAGAGAGTTGAAAAGTGACTAAGGATGACAGAAGAAGATTTAATGAATTTGAGTTGTGGTGCTGAAGAAGAGTGTTGAACATAGTGTGGACTGCCAGGAGAACAAACAGGTCTGTCCTAGAGAGGGTGAAGTCACACTGTACCCTGGAGGTAAAGATTCTGAAACTTCATCTCACTTACTTTGGGGACATAGCCATCTGGGATCAGTCCTTGGAGAGGGACATCATGGTTGGTGTGGAGGGATAGCACAGGAGAGGAAGACCCTCAATTAAATGGACCTCCAGGATAACAAAAAAGTCTGTCTTAGAGAGAGTGAAACCAACTCTTTCCTTGGAAGCTAGGATTTTGAAGCTCTGTGTCACTTACTTTGAGCAGTGGCCAGGAGAAACCAGTCCTTGCAGAAGGACATCATGCTTGGAAGAGTAGAGGGACAGAGCAGGAGAGGAAGACCCCAGATGAGATGGATTGAAACAGTATCTGAGGCAATGGGGGTTGGTGTGTCAGAACTAGTGAGAATGGCTCAGGACAGGGAAGGGTTCAGAGCTGCTGTACATAGGGTGGCTATACATAGCAGGTGACTCAACAGCACACAACAACAATAACACTATATTGGTTGGTTTTTACTTAAGACTCCTGTTTAGAGTCAACAAGACCTCGGGGAGGGCTTTATAATTAAAGTTGATTATTATTATGTTTTGGAGGAACATTTTTCTAAGTGGTACAGCACTCTTCTGTCAATATACTGTACTGAGGTAACCTGGGGTTGCTGTGATGCTGAACCTTGTACCAGTGAGGTGTCAAATGTCTTAATGGCTACCCATGGTGTACAGTGTTTGGTGGAGCTCCCAGTTTAAGACAGGTTTGGAAGCAGGAGTGGCATTCACTTCGTAAACAACATGTCTCCGAAAACTCTATGAACTTTGATAAATGTCGATAGTTACAGAAAAGCTTCAGGCCTTTTGTTCATAGGGTTGCTATGAGTCGTGCTCGACTCAAAAGGCAATCATCAACAACAACAGCACATTGTGATTTTAAAGAAAGTTTACAGAGAAGTTGGATTTTCATTCATCATTATTGTACATCCACCCATCTACCCCAGTTCCTTAAAAAAAATAAATAAAATTCATTCATTGTTGTACAATTTCCTCTCTTTCCCCCACCCTCATCCCAGTCCACTTTACTATGCACCTCTAATTCTGGACTGTTGTCATACAAATAATGCCTAAATCATATATTCCTTTGAAAGAGTTTTTTACTTCACCTGTTCTAATCCAGTGTTCATTATCTATCCTCTCTTTTCCTGTTGTTGTTGTTAAGTGCTGTTGAGTCGTAGGTGACTCATAGCAACCCTAAGAACGAAAGTCCTCAACACTTGCGTGACTTTCATTCTTTCTCCAGGTTCATAGGGTTTCTGGAGGCAAGCTATTTATGGAAGTGGATGCCACTCCTGCTTCCAAGCTTGTTTTAATCAGGGAGCTCCACCAAACACTGTCTGCCATGGGTAACCATTATTGCCTTTGACACATTAGTGTCACAGTGTCCGGCTGCACTTTTCCTCATTTCCTAGTTTCCCCTAACCCCCACGTGAGTCCTGTTTTATAACAGTGGCACTATGCAGTATTTGTCCTTTTTGTGACTGAGATATTTCACTCAGCATAATGTCCTCCAAGGTCACCTGTGTTGTGTAATGTTTTATGAATCCTTTGCTTTTTAGTGCTGCATAGTATTCTATTGTGTGAATATACAATAGTTTTTCTATCCATTCATTTATTGATGGACACTTGGGTTGTTTCCATTTCTTTGCTATTTTGAATAAACATGAGCATGAATATATCTGTTTAGTTGGAAGCTCTGGTTTCTTTAGGGTATATTCCCAGTAGAAGAATTGTTGAATCAAATGATATTT